CCACCTCCTTAGTATTCGATATAATATAAAGATCAGTAAAAGCGGAATTTTTAACGTCACAGATTGTTCGTTTACTCCTTGCGGATCGTTTGATATTTTGCCCAATTCTCTAAGCTTTTACATTTAAGCCAATTTTTATAACATATCTTCTTATATTTTTTCTTTTTTTGCACAATTTTATTTAACCACCAACAATTTTTTTTATAGAAACTCTCTTTTGATTCTCCAAGTACATATTTTACTACTTTTTTAATAGTGTTTGTTACCTTATCGTAAGCTTTTTCTAAATCAATTAAATCAAATGTAGATCCTCCTTATTATCTTTGAACTCCTCCATCAATCTAACCTCTCAATAAATGTATAGCTTTCATAGTAGACCTTCCCGACATAAATCTAAATTGATTATGAGAAATCATTGTAATATGTCTTAACCTATGTTCAATTACCCTCTCCCATAATTATGAAGTATGACACATCAACTTAATTCTTCTTTAATTTGCACACTCTCGTGCATCCCCTTTATTCTTAAAAATGGGGACCAAAATACTCTTCCTCCACTCCTCGGACATTGGGATATCATTAAAATAATATTAAAGAGTTTAGTAAGCCAATACACTCCTAAATCTCCTAAATATTTCCACAGTTCAATTGAGATATCATTAGGTCCTATAGATTTTTCACACTTAGTTTTCTTTAAAGCCTCTACTTCTTTTTTACTAATGCGACGGTAAATATGAAGCATTTTAAAGTAAAAATGAAACTTTTTATTATTATTAACGATATCAAGATCACTAAGGGCGATTGTATTTTCAGAAACTTCATTAAAAAATTTATCAAAATAACTCACCCACCTATGTTGAATATTTTTTTTTAAGAAAAGTACTTTTTAATTTTCATCTTTAAAATACTTTACTTTAAATATTTACTTTTCTTTTTTCTTTGTTTGACTAGTTTATACATATATTTTTCACCTCCTTAGAATCTAATATATTATAAAGATTACTAAAAGTAGAATTTTTAGCGTCACAGATTGTTTTTTTAGACTCCCTGCGGATCGTTTTATATTTTTTCTATCTCTCTAAGCTTTTACATTTAACCAATTTTTATAACATAACTTATTTTTGATCCTTTCTAGCACTTTATTATTTCACCACTAACTATTTTTATTTATAATAAATTTCTCTTTTGATTCTCCAAGTACATCTTTTGCTATTTTTTTAATAGTGTTTGTTACTTTATCTCAAATAGTATTTGCTTCTTCATGAACATCCCAAAATTTGCAATCTTAAATTTTATTCATAGAAATAATTTTATTTGCCTTTTAGGCTCTCTTATCTAATTTTATGGTAATGAGTCATAGTATTCTTTATTTTGCACCTCTTCATCTTAAAATATAGGATTATTAATCGAGGTTGGGTACTTAAATTCTCGCTTGGAAAAACCTTACAATCTTTACAGTCTCGACGTTCTTTTCTTCTCATAAGAAATTAGATTCATTATTATAAGTAATAAAGTGATCATCTTTTTTTTGAATAAAATATTAGTAATAATAAAATTATACGCTAAAACAAAATTTAAAATGACTCTACTTTCTTCATTTGTCACTCCAAAATCATAGCCACAATGAATATTTCTGAAATCTTCTACTACTCTACCGACATGTCCATTTAAATCTCCTCAAATAAAAAATTTTTCTTCAAGAGGTATGATTTGTATTAAGTCTTCTAAGTCATTCCAGAATTTATCTTTAGACCCTATATTTAAACCTACTCGAGGAGCATAAACACTTATAATATTAAAAATCTTAGTATCAATAATAATCTTAAGGGCTATAATTCTATCTCCAACTCTATTAATTTTTATAACATTATCTTTCAAACTCTTATCTATAATTACACCTACATCATTTCTAGTGCGGCTCTTATCAGAATACCAAAGTTCAAAACCTAAGTTATCAATCTCCTTAGTCTTTTCTGTGACCCATTTTATTTCTTAAATACATAAGACATTAATCTTTCTATGAATCATAATTTCAATTAATTCCTTTAATTTCCTATTCAGAGTACATATATTCCAAAATTCTGTTATAATATTAGTTTCATTAGTTTCATGGTCTAACTTCTTTACCTGTATCCATCCGTAATGTGGGAACACCTGCTTATTTGACACTACACCGACCGATGTAGCGGCTCTTGCACACTTTTCACTGTATTCAGACAATACAACGCGTAGCTTTCAGGAACACCCTAGCAATTACACAATGATAAAAAAAATTCATGTCATGATTTTTTCGATAAGTTTTGCGCTGACTGTCGATTATCTAACGCAACCTTCCACTTTTCACATCTGTGCTTGGGAGCGGCAATGACAATATTTAATATTTGAATTCATAATGAATTGAATTGAATGGTGCTTTCTTCTCTTTCTCTGTTGGCTCCTTAAGTGTGGTTTGGTGGCTTGTCTCTTCTATCCTTTTGATCATGATTGGTCTATCCATTATGATGCTTTATTTTATCATTTTAGATTGATGTTTGATTATTTTTTCCTCCCTCTACTCCATGCAAAGGATTTAGTATCTTTTGTAAAGAATCAGTCAAGCTTCAATCAAACAATTCTAATCTATTCCTCTTCTTTTCAAACATCTTTGCACTTCATAACCCTTTCATATATTTCGACTACATTATAAAGTAATCCTAACCATACCTTCACATCTCTTGTCCACCCTAGAATACACCTCACCAGCCTCCATCATATTAGGTTCCTCCTGGCCTCCAATTCAGGAAGACTACCTTCTTATAACCCCCTTTGCTCTAAACGACTAAACATGAGCATTCTAGCATCTTCCATACACTCCTCTAAATCCATTAATTAAAAGTCCACCACACCAAACTTTAACTACTTGTAGTTAATTACCCGTCCTTTTTGAAAGAACTCATGGTTAAGGATGTCTCGTGGTTGTACTTACAATGTTGATGGTTTCTTTATATGCCAAATTTTTTCCATTTCGTAGTATTATTTCATCTTATTATGTGACGAGAAGCCTTGTATTTTGACAAGTAGGTCACTTTGGTTGATATTTTAGTTGCGACTGCCAAGATGTTTCCTGTTCACTAAGTTCTTTTAATGTTGACTTTAGGGGCCACTATCCTCATTGATTTGTGGGCACGCCTCACACTAGCTGGTGCCACACTAAGCCTGACAAGTCTTATCAAGCTATTCAATTAAATTAATTAATGATACCCTAGCCGACCCACTACGCCGGGTCAGCTGAGTTGTCTGTGTTTTTTCTTTTGGATTCTAATCTACCTGACACAACTTGCCACACTGGAACAATTTTCAATTTTATTCGACTATTCATTTACCTATCAACTTTGCACGCTACTTGGTCGATTAGCAAGAGCGGCTATCTTACAAGACCTATTGACCCTATACAAATCCTCTTGGCTAACATTTATCTGGATGTCTCAACCACCACCAAAATTGTACTAAATTCAGCTAACAGTAAAAAAATTTGTTGCTTGCTTGAGAAAGGGAGCTTTCTCTTGCAGCTTGTCCATAAGCTTGCTTTACTGAAGATATAAGAAGCACCTGGATAAGTCGTTGACACGCCCTAATACATGTTCTGACATACTCAGAATTGTGTCAGAATTGTTTTAAGATAAAATTAGTGTTTTAATACATGTTATTGAACGGACTAGACATGATCCAACGCACCAAGGAAACACATGTTTTGTGGAATCCTCGTTCATACGATGCTTAAACATGTACATGATAAGTCACCATGTCGTGACTGTGCCCATAGAGTCCTCACTTCTCATCCCTGACAATTTCGTGTTTATGCGCAAGTGTCACCTTTCTTCTTTAAAGAGCGACTCATAGGCTGCAACACAGCTCGTCTTTCTTTCAATAGTCCTTCAACGAAGCGTTCACAGCTTTTGAACCCCCTTCTCTTCAAAGTTCAATCACTGCATGTTTATCACTCTGGATGGGTCTTTCTGCTTTGACGAATCTTCTGTAGCCCTTGAACCCTTTTCTCTTCACTATGTTGTGTGTGCGTGTCTTCACTTGGTGTGCCCTAATCTCTTTTTTGTGTACCCACCTAATTCTTCGGGTAATGAAAATTCTGTATGGTTAATTCAAATTAATTGACATTAAAATGGATGTGATACAGATGAAAGTGAGATTTTTCTCTATGGCCTTTTGTGCTGTGGTAGGGTGATGCATTTAATGACAATGTATTAAAGTTACTATTTTACCTTATGTTTTGTGCTTCATAAGTGAAGGTGTAATTAGTAAAAATATCAGAAGGCAAGATAATTTTTTCAGTGAGTCCCACAATATTTTTTTTCCTTTTAGAAAACCATCACAAATTATTTCATCGCACATTTATGCCATTGTAAACATTTGTGACATTCTGCCTCTGCTGATACCGGGATTTTTGTTCTTTATGCCTTGAGGCCTCATTTGGTGATGTTTCTTTTTTTAATCCGGTGTTTCGTGATTTTGAATTTTGGAAAAATTTGCGGCTGAGCTTTATACACATTCACTTATCTTCTTTATTGCTTTATCATCACATGGTATCACTTGTAAGCTTGCAGCTTCTTCTTCTAAATGACCACCAATTTATTAATTTTAGGAAGATTTACGTACATGTCACTCAGTTTTTATGTATTTACACATGTAGGACCTAAATTTTATTTTTTACATATGTGGCACCTTACCTATGTATGAAAATGTGTTTCACTCTTTGGGAGTTAAAATACTGGTATATTTATTTGATTAAAGATTTGGGCAGTATAAATGTAAAAAGTAAAAAAAAATAAAAAAAATAAAAAAAGCTGTTAGATAAAAAAATACATAGCAATTGGGTGCTATGTACGGAAATGCCCCCTTAATTTTATTCAAAAACAGTTCAGCAAAATAACATCACATCATGACCAAAAGAATCATTAAATCTCCCCAACCTTTTCACTAACCAAAATTTACCCACTACAATCCAGGTATTCCCTGCACCTGCTGACAGGGAGAAAGTTAAATCCTGCTTGTCTGAGCTGGGAGAAATAAGCAGCACCTACAAGAGAATCCTAAGTTCCAGATTGGATCAGCTTATGGCGAGCATCTCGCCTCGCATCCGTCCCGTTCTCGACTCAGTTGCAACTATCAGCTACGAACTCTCGGATGCTGATTACGAGGATAATGAGATGAATGACCCATGGGTTCAGAAGCTTCTCCATGCAATCGAGACTAATATAGCGTGGCTGCAACCAATAATGACCTCGAACAACTACGACTCGTTTCTTCATCTAGTGATCGATTTCACCGTCAAGCGGCTCGATGTGATCATGATGCAGAAACGATTCAGCCAGCTCGGTGGACTCCAGCTCGATCGGGAAGTGCGAGCTCTGGTCAATCATTTCTCTGAGATGTCGCAGAGGCCTGTGAGGGATAAGTTTGCACGGCTCTCACAGATGACAACTATCTTAAACTTTGAAAGGGTTTCTGAGATATTGGATTTCTGGGGAGAGAATGCTGGGCACATGACATGGTTGCTTACACCTGCTGATGTGAGGAGGGTTTTGGGTCTCAGAATTGACTTCAAACCTGAAGCTATTGCTGCTCTCAGGTTATGAGGAATATTTTATTCATTTGATATTGAATATTTTCTCTTATTTTAGTTTTATATATATATATATATATATATATATATATTATCCTTCATTTGAATTATTGGTCTTACAATTTGCCTTGTTAAGGGTGGGGGGAATAATATGAAGCAGAGAGCAAGCACTGTCAAGGTGCATCAAACTATTGAACTTAACGTCGAGGGAAGGCATCAGCGGCAGCAGCCGATTCCATCATCGATAATGACAGTGATCATGTAGAAGAGGCTGGAGGATGAAAGCGAACGTGAATGGAGGGAGAATCTAAGACTTGATAAAACTCAAAACTGATGGCGGAAAATAAGCTTGGGCTTCGCTAGTGTTTGCCTACTTGTCTCCTTTCTAGCCATTGTATTATAGCTCTTTCCCATAATATCTGCTTTCCCTTAATATCTGGATTCCATGCTTCTTTCTCATTTTTGAAAAAAATTGCTACATGATAACTAAAGCTGCATGATTTATCCCGCCTATTGGACTTCGGTTTTATCTAACCTAACTCGGCTTTCACTGCCTCACTCATTGGAGCTGGCCCAGCTTTTTCCTCATTACTTCGCCCTTTTTTCTGTTGTTGACTACCTTTTGAGGATGTTGCAACTAGAAAGAATTCTTGTGTGCCTAAACTGAGAGAGCAAAGAAAATTTCCTCTCCTTTATGGATAAAGAAAGTCATGAAGTTGAGCTAGCGGTTAAAGATCATGTTATCAAGAAGAAATGGGATCTCTTATTGGTGGAAAATTAATTGGTCATTTCTCAATCTCCTCCCACTAATTCATCCTCCATCAAGCCCCATCAATGTTCCTTAATGATTATTCATTTTCTATGTTGGACCTTCCATATATTGATAAAGCCCATAGTAATAATTTCCCACCTCAAATGAACTATATCACTAAAGCCTTGCTTCATGCGTATGACAGTCTCCCTTCTACTTTATCCACACTTTCAATCAATCAAAATGTAGAGAAAAAAAGGAGAAATATGCATGATTCAAGAACTGTGGAAGCTAAAAGTTCACTTAGATTTCTTAGCTAACTTCTTGTGTCAACAATTTGGCTCTCTAGTCTCTAATCTTCTAAAGAAAGCTGTAATAGCTTTTAATGTAGTACTGGGGGTGCCTACTCTTGGTTTATCCTTTGTTGTTGGATGCTAGTTTGTGTTTGGGGTTGGGACATTGGAAGTTGGATTTATGCCCTCGATTATAATTTGGTGAATTAGAACCTACTTGACATATGTTGAGTCTTCGAGTTTTCATGTAGGATTTAGGGATCTACTGTGTTGTTGCTTCGTCAGGCTAATGGTGATGACGGGTGTCAAATCAGAATCATAGTTGGGTTTGGGTTTGATCTAAAATTGATCCAACGTGAAACTGTTTGACTCGAACCTGAGCCAATTACTAAACATGTCAAAAAGTTCAACCCGAACTCGACTTGTATAACTTGTTTAACCCTAAGGTATAATATCCATTCAGGTCAAATTTGAGTTAAATTTGGGTCAATTTTGAGTTGGCGGGTCCTGAATCCGACCCAAACAATTTAGCGAGTTAAGATTCCTAACCTGAATCAGCCCAAAAATTATTTGGGTCTACCCAAACTTGAATTTTTCAAGTCGAGTTCTGATTGAGTTGATGCGTTGAGTTAATTTTTGAAATCCCTATCAGTGATGGATCTCTAATTTTTTGGTGCTTACCATCTGTTTATTTGTCCACTCACTTGTAGTTGTTTTTTCTTATTTATTAGAATTTGGGTAAGCCCTCTTTATTTCAAAAAAACAAGGTGAAAAAAAAAAATTTGTGCTGGGAAGATATTTTTAAAGACACGACATCTTTGTGCCTTGTATATCTGTGGCAAAATCCTATATCTTATAAAATATATCTGTGCTAGATTATCCTATTATGTGTATATGATATTAAGGATTTAAGTGATGGATATAAATGTTTAAATATTGTACATGGGAAATGTGTCAATGCTGATCCAAGGAGATCTAATGATCTAGAAGGAAGAAAGTATGATAAAGGAGGGCTCATTGATAGAAAATTAGAAGGTCCACTTATTTGATAGCATGTAACCATCCAAGCCATAGTAGAAGGCCAACCGAGCCAGGAGAAGGAGAAAAAGACGGTCAATTGATTTGAATCCGAACCAATCAGACTAAAACAAGACATGCAAGCATATGAGCTAACAACTACACGAAAGACGATTGAAGACAATAACCTACATTCTAGTATATCCAGCTAGAGTAAAGACCCAATTCCTCACGGAACAAGAATTGACAATATATTAGCCTTATAGATCCTGCATGTTTTCCTTGTTAAGAAACAAGCTACCAATTGGGTTATGCTGCTTCATCATTTGATTAATAGTCTAGTCTCGCTTCGCCGACAGGAACTCCTAATCTAAGCATTGAGAATCGACAATCATAATATATCAACCAATCGACAAAACCTAGTTGATCAAATCATTCCCGCTAATCTGAAGCCAATCAATCTCAACTGATCGACAACAACAGCAACACCGACTCGACCTATAATTTCTGTGGATTGGAAATATTTTTTCCATACATTTGAATTCTTTCATCTTTTGTGGCCAATTTATTTCCAGCACCCAACACAAACAAATATGCACCATGACATGCGGTGCAATTATCGTGAATAGGGGTGTCAAAGCTGGCCCAACATGTCAACACTACTCAAATTCGGCTCGAAGAAATTCGAGTTAAGATTGACCCGAAATTTTTTTAGTCAGGTTCTGCTCAGAAAATTCGAACCGTTTATTATTCGGATTGGGTTCAGTTGAATCCGAAAATCCAAATAAGACTCTAATAATTATGAAATTTTGGGTCAGCAGATTAAGCTCGGATTCCGGCCTTAATTTTGGACAAATTTATTGTTTGGATAGAGATCAGAACAATCTTATTCTGATCAGAATATCTCCGATTCGAATTCAAATCCAATCGACGGACCTGAATGACAGCCGTGGTCGTGAAGCTTCTGATTTCTGTGTGAAATGCGGTGCCGTATCGGAAACACCGGCCATCAAATGGATTGGAAAGCACCACATGGCATCTCCTGCCCCACCTATTAGAAAACACCAGGCATCAAATGGAAGGGAAAGCACCACGTGGCATCTCCTGGCCCCATCATTTAATGGATACAATTGCATTTAACTTTGTTACGTTTAATTTTATTCACACAATAATAAAATATTCATCTTTTTTTTTTTTAATTTTGAAAAAAAATATTTTTTTGGTCGGTTGAATTCCTCCACGTCTGAACCCTCGCGCACTCAGTTCTTATCTGCTATTTTCCCTGCTACTATAAAAGTCCCCCCGCCTTCTTCCTCATCTTATACAACTTCCAACAGAATCACTAATCATCTCTACCTGAAAACCCTAGCGATCCTGCAGATGGACAAGCTCCTGGCCATGTCGATTCTCAGCGCAGGCCCAGATAGCTCTCTCGGCGACTGGTGGCTCTCTTATCTCCCCTCCGGGGACCATTTGATGAAGAAGAAGGAAGCGAAGAATGAGAAGGAGATGTGCAGCGGCACCAGCGGCGGCAGTAAGGATTCAAATAGTAAATATTCTTCCGGCAAAGTGGAGAAGCCTCGTTTTGCTATGGAATTCGATGGGCTTAATTGTTTCGAGACCATCGTATCCCATTGATCGGATTCCGGTTTCCCCCGCCGATCTGATTTTTCATTTTTACGTTGATTTTGCGGAATTGGGGATTGTTGATTTCGATGTGGATTGCAATGGTTTCGTGCAAATGATTGCTTATGTTTTAGGGTTTTTTGGTGATCTTTCGATGATTGGAATATTGGAAATTGGGTTCAAATTAAGGATGGAGAGAGGGCTCTGCTGCTTTTATTTGCCCTGTTTGTTCGATCTATGGATTGAATGGTGAACGATCTGATCTTCAGGCTGATTTCTGCTTTTAGGATCAAATCGAATTTGATTCGAGATAAGAGCCGATTCTATTTTGATCGATTTTTGGCCTTTAACATGAGTATTATCCAACTTTAAAATCAGTACTGTCAAAATATTGGCACAAATTTAAATGTATTTGATACGACAAGAAATTTCATCCAAGCATTTAGTAGATATGATTGTGTTAATTTTTTTTTTCAAATAAATTTAAGATTATCCCAATTTCAAATTCATCAAACTCAGATTTTGTTTGAGAAGACCTTAAAGCTCCATTGTGTTGCAGTCAACACCGATGTTTGTGAAAGTTTTCATTTAATGTTTCGCCATTTTGGACTGCAAAGAACTTTCTCTTAGGACTGTAAACGAGCGAGCTCAGGCTGGGCTTGTATTCGGCTCGTTCGAAATAGCTCGCGTTCGAAATCGGCTCGTGAACAATGTGTTCATGTTTGGCTCGATTTAAATATTCGTGTTCGTGTTTGGCTCATGTTCGGCTCGAAATTAGCTCGTTAAACTAAAATTGAGAAAAATAGATGTAAAGTGTGAGATTCAAACCTGTATCAAATATATACAAAAGAAGATACTAACCACATTGCCACATGAGGTGTTATGATTTAAATTTAGACATATATGTATATATATGTATTCGTGTTCGGCTCGAAATTAGCTCGTTAAACTAAAATTGAGAAAATAATAAAAAAAGTTATATAATTTTTTTTTCGAGTCATTTTGAGCCGAACACGGGTGAACAAACTGTTGTTCGTGTTCAACCACATGAGGTGTTATGATTTAAACTTAGACATAGACTTAACGAACGAGCCAAACATGAGCTGCTTAACGAGCCGAACACGAGCTGTTCATGAACAACGAGCCAAATTGACAACCCTACCTTCTCTGTTTCGCCAACGCTTATAAAAATTCACTGGATGATGAAATCAATTCAAACGAAACTTCACAATTGAATTAATTGTTTCAATGTGAAGAACCCAAAGACAACAAAAATAGTCTGACTTAAAATTCAAATAGGATTCAAATTAAATGATTGAATTGTGATGAGAAATTTTAGGACTTAATCTTTAAATCAAGAGGCTTGAAAAAAGAAATCCAATGAGTTCAAGGTTATTCAATTTTATTGTTTTTAATACATTTAAATGACTTGTGAGTAAATGAAATTGTACGAGCCAGATGATGAAATAATCAAAATATCATAATTAAACTTAATGGCACCAAGGATCATCTTAAGTCATTGTCATTATCTAAGCATTATTGCTTAATCATTATCATTCGATTATAATCATATAATTGATATCATTTAACAATCATCTTAACATTATTATTGAACTATCAATTTCTTATCATCGTCAGATGACGATCATCATTTTTCAACTATGGTTATTCCATTGTTGTCAACACTTGCAATACTTCTATTATTACACGAGATCGAAACTAGTGTTCTTAATTTGGAATCTCATCTTCTTTAATGGTAGACAAAAAGTTGACTTGTTTATTCTCATATATATAATCGAGGTATAATATCATACATATCATATGAAATATTGCTATTTTTAAATTGACCGTTCATTTTTCGTCTATTGTTATTCCATTGTTGTCATGAGTTCCAATACTTTTATAATTGCACAAGAGATCAAACTAGTGTTCTTAGTTTTGACTCATCTTCTTTAATGGTAGACAAAAAAGCTAACATTGGGAATTCGATAAATTATCTAAATTCTTTTTAATTCTTATATATATATATATATATATATATATATGCTATTCATGATCAAAACATTGGGAATTCGATAAATTATCTCAATTGGATCAATTTACATGATTTATTTTAATTATCATATTTTTAGCATAAAAAGTTTAGTTTATTGAGTGCTATTTTTTTTATGTACTTGTATTTGAAATCTTAATACAAAGCTAGATTGTAAAACTCTCTCTACTACCATGAATTTTCTAGCACTGTAAAAACAATGTCTCAATATTTAGCTCAACTAATTTAATGGTTGATAGGAGTACAATTCGTATCAAAATCTTCTCGCTCCAACGCTCATCAATTTAAGAGCCAAATTTTCAACCAAAGAATAGCATCATAATAAAATTTTTTGAATTTTTTTTTTTCAATGTCTTCCATTATAGTTTAAGATTTGAGGTAATTTCCCATCCTTGTAAACTAAGATGAAATTTCAAATAAAATTCTTTGTAACCCTCCTTAGAAAGAAAAAAAAAATACCTTTGAAATCATGGCATTTATAGAGGTTATCACTATTGTGTATGAAGATAAAAAAAGAGGAGCTAATATTCATCAACAGAGGAGCTAATACTCAATATCAATATTCTTCTTTTTATCATCTAAGATAAGTATATAAATTAGACATGAAATGAAATAAAAAAAGAAGTGAGTTACTTGAAGATTCAACTTTATGTATGTCATTCGAATAAAATATTTAATATTGGGAGTTTTCTACCATATTGTTATTAGTTCTCATTAATGAGAGTTATAGAAGTCTCCCTATACTTAACTTAAACTATCAATTTTAACTAATGTGTCTTCATTCACAAATTAGCAAACATAGTGTTGTTCATATAAAAGATTTTTAATTTTAAAAATTTGAAGAAACTTCATTATGTCGTCGTCGCTAGTATGAAGTGAAATGTATAACCTTTTCATTTACCTCTACTTGCATGAAGTCCCTAAGTTGTTTCCAACAAAAAAAATTCACTTCACCTACTAGTCTTTATGGGACCCTTAATAGATAACTCCAATCATTTTCTTGTTCAAGTAATATGCTCATGACTGTTGCATATAAATTTATACATGCTTGTTAAATGCTCATGCTCCAACATTGCTCCATGCTCTAGTGATGATTGAATTAGCTCTGCGTGAAAATATAGATAAATTAACCTTACATGCCATCAAAATCTCAATCAATTTAAGAGTAGGGAGAAATCAAACTCCTACACCGAAGCTCAACCCATAACTCCTGATGTATTAAGGTGATGAAAAACGAGCTTGATTAGACCCTACAAAAAGCAAGACCTTTATATCATTTGGAAAATAAAATTTTCGCATAAGATTTGACGATTGATTTTGCATTAATTTCTTATTAATTTTAAGAAATTTAGTGTGCTAATGATTAGGTTGAAGAGCATTAGTATTGGGGCAATTTCAAGAAAAAAATTATACAATCAAGCATTTGAAGCTATTTGAGGATGTTAAGTTGCTATCAATGTAATTCCATTTATAAAGGTAAAAAAAAAGAAATCTTTAAGAAACATATGAACAATGCTTATATATATTTCATTCAAAAACTTCTATTTGTTGATTAGAATATGGGTAAATGCTTCTAGCATATCTATAATGCAAACGGGGCAGACAACAAAATGCTTCTAGCATATCTATAATGCAAACGGGGCAGATAACAAATAAAAGACAAAAAAAAAAAAAAATCATAAAGGAAAAAACTTCATAGGAATAGGCAAAAATCGATGGCGCCGATTGCAGAGGGAGGGGAGCAGAATCAGGTTTAGCCCTAATGACACTTGTGACAAAATATGATACTGGCGAGGGGTATGTGAGGATAGAAGAGTGGATTAAAGGGACAACGACTTCTTTGGCACCTCTCAACAAAGCTACAACCGCTGAACGACCTCTCCCTCTTACATTTCAACATTCGACCGAATGCGGCCCCCCATTCACCATGCGCTCGAATAAAAAATATTCTCAAAGACGACTTCTCCGATTTCGGAACGTTAAAGCCGCAAAATTTGGGTCCCAAAAGGCACCTTAGTCTTAATTAAACCATCTCAAACTTGAGCATAAAACTACTAAATACATTATATAATTTATAAAAAACATAAAAATTACATTAAAAACAACAAAAGCATTACAAATTACCTAAAAGTAGTGGTAGGAACGGGTCCGATTGACCACTTTCGAGAACAACCAGTCAAAACTATAGCTTTCCATGCTTTCTAATGACACGCTAATAACGTTAGCTAGTGTTGTCAAAGTCAAAAGGAGACTAGTGCAGTCTGAATGGCTACACTACAGAAGCAGGTTTTCTGCGTCATTTTCAGCGTGGTGAAGTCAAAAATACGGAAGTTTAATATCAATTTAATACGCGATCTTTGAATATTTATCTTCTTACTTTTCATATTATCATAATGAAATTAAACATGAAAAATTCAACCCAAATTTATTTGAAAATGGGTGAGATCTTTTACTTATTCCTGTACTGAAAAAGATTGGTTGGTTTATGTTCAGCTTCATTATAAAATAAATTGAAGGAAATTTTACATGCATACCCCTAAATTCTTATGTATTTACACAGGAAACTCTTGTATTTCAATTTTTATGTGCATGTCATTTTATCTAGGCATGAAAATGAGTACCTCACTTTTAAAGAGTGATATGTATGTAAATGCCCCATATGATTATAACCTCATGGGGCACCATTAATATCATATTCTGTGGTAGATTTATTAACTCTTTTAAGAGTGAGACATTTTATTTGGCGCCCGCTGTTTTAGCAGTTTGGGTAAACTGTGTTTTGTGAGTTTTTCAAAAAACTGTCGCTGAAACCAACATTTTTCTACCGCTCTGGCTAGATACTGTGGGATAGTCTGATTTTTTTTTAAAAAAAAATTATAATAATCACCACAGTTTTTTGCAATATGAGATTATCCTTCAACATCTCCTTAATAAGCTGGAGCTGCCCAAACAGCCCAAGTAAAAATATAGAAATTTGTTTTCATTTTTACGTGATTCTAAGAAGAGAATATCACGAGTGAAGTCGGAATTCATACATCCGGATTTAGCATACAATTTTATTATACACGTTCTGAAAGCCCATCATAAATAAGAAATAAATATTAGGTGTAATGACTGCACATTCGAAGAATGACGGACATCATGCCATACATGGTAACATGACGATATCCAAAACGTTGTAAATAGGGTATAAATCAATGTGAAATTTGCCTGCCACGGGTTCACCAAACCAAGACCCAACGTGCTAAACGAGAACACGCTGTACAAGATTCATCCTATGCGGATGCCACCTGCGACTTCTCCCTAATCCACCGTCAATTTTCAAATAATCTTGTTCGTCCATGAGGACGGTAGCCGGCCATATTCTTCGGTCGAATGCGGGCATATAGAGATTAGATAAGTATTACGCGTCATATATTAAATATAAATAAAGAGAGCCCTTCCCCATGAACCAAAGATTCCTGCTTTATCCAAAAATCAAATCTTTCTTCAAAATTTAAAGGCTGCAAACAAAAAAAATTGAATTTTTTTGTTTTGGGTTCCTTTTTTTTTTGGATTTTTTTTTTTTTTTTGATCTCTTCCAGCCGGCAGATTTCTGTGTTAGAAATAGCAGGGCGCTGTCCCTACGGAAATCCCGATCACCCACCCACCGTACCTCTCGAAATCCTTATCCAAACCCTAATCTTGCTCTTTCTCTCTCTTCTCCGCTCAATCGTTTTTAATTTTTATCCAGTTTTTCTCTCTCAACCACAACTTCGTTGTTGTACATTATCCTCAACATTTCCTGGCACAAACCTAGGTCTTTTCTGTTTTCCCCGGCGGCAAATTGCTTGTTCTTCCATCATGGCGCTGATTTTGGATGCCCTGATTGAGATACTGAGGAAGCCGACCATTGGAGACATGGTTTCGGAGCTAACTCTCTTTGCCGCGCCGCTTTGGCTCGCTGTTTTTGTCGGACTCGTGGTTGGATGGGTGTGGAGGCCAAGATGGGCGGCTGGGCTGGTTGGAGAAGGTGAAGGTTGTTCCTGTGTTGATCATCCGGTGAAACCTATGCTGAATTCTCACGGTTCCCGGTTGAAGCTGGCTCTGCCGAGTTTGGATTCGTTGAGGGATCAGATTCCAAGCCGCCTAACTTTTCTGAAACATGAGCGAATGTCTGAGAAGGAAGCGAAGACTGTTGATTTGAGGTAAGTGGGTTCCTTGAAGATCCGTGATTTGTTTTGGGTTTCTGGATCAATGTACTAATGGGTTTCTTACGAATTGTGAAGCTCTCCGCATCGGGATAAGAAGGAATTAGCGGTGACTTCTGACGATTTGCAGAAACTTTATGCCCTTGTTGAAACAACAGATGGTGGACCTGCTTGGATTCCAATGATGGAAAAGAGTTTGCCAACTATGAGCTATCAAGCTTGGCGCAGAGACCCTGAGGTGCGCTTCATTTTTAATGCTTTTTTCTCGCATTCAGCTAAAGTTTCAAATTTGGGCAGGTTCAGGTGAATTTCTTCAGGTTTTGTAGTGCATTATCTCGCAAGATTGATCCCTTTTTGTTTGTTTTATATCTAGACGGGTCCTCCGCAGTATCGCAGTAGATCTGTATTCGAGGATGTAACGCCTGAACTTGTGAGGGACTTCTTCTGGGATGATGAGTTTAGGATAAAGAACAAGTGGGATGACATGCTTTTGTATCAGGCGCCATTGGAGGAATGCTCTGTTACAGGAACAATGATGGTTCATTGGATTCGAAAGGTGGGAGACTTGTTTTGCTGTTTACAGTTAGCTCTGGATCGGTAGCAATATCTGATATCTTGTTGTTTCTGTATGTATTTGCAGTTCCCCTTCTTCTGCAGCGATAGGGAGTACACTATTGGGCGTAGAATATGGGAAGTAGATGGAGCTTATTATTGTGTAACAAAGGTATGCTGAGAAACATACATTTCACTTTTCTGTCTGTTTTTATATTCACCAGAGACAAAATAGGCTAGTTTTGTTTGATATAGTTATGATGGGCTGCGCTCATATAAAATGCTTTTTGATGCACGCCATTTAGTAGGGTATGAAGTTTGTGTATTTGATTCCGTTATATTTTTATTTGAGCTTAAGTAGTTTAAACTCTTAAAGTATTACTGCAAAAGAGTTGGTTTGAATATTTTGATGATTTGCATTGTAGAATCTTGTGGTGTGTTTTTGGAGAGTAAAGAAAATTGGAAATTTTACTATTCATGTAACATAAATTAGCCATCTTTTTTGTTTAAACACATGCACGATTGCCTTAAATTCTCTTAAGGAGCTAGTTTTTGGGGAAGTTAAGAGGCTAAAGCTCAATTGGGAGCTAATTATTATCCATGCATAGCAGGGGCTGGAATGTGAAGAATAATAAAATTGAACTTAACTCATTAGTTTTACTTTAAAGAGCCTACTTTGAGTCAAAGTAGATGAAGGTCTCGAAGCTAAATTAAAATAAAATATAGATGAATATTTATATTTTGCATTATATTAAAGTTAATATTATTTTTCATATGTATTCAGTGATTACATAAGTATTTGAATGTTAAGTACTTTAATTTGAATTTAGAATCAGTATATTAGGTTTGAATTCAAGTTTAGAAGTAATGATATGCATGTTGTGATATCTCTGTCAAAGAAAATAGTTAAGAGTTTTCAATTTGAATTCAAATTAAAAATGGCAAGAAACATTATGTGAATGACATAAACAAACATGATGTTAATGATTTGGTGTTGAAGTTGTAATAAACCATGAGTGCTCAGCCAAAATGTTTATTCCTATTCTCCAATATGCTTAAACATAAAAATCTTCTCTTTTTTCACAATGGAATTATTCTTCCTGCCTAAGAAAATGTGATTTTTGTTTTGTGAATTCCCATTTTATGGCCATTTTCATCTTCACACTCATATCATTGCAATGAAAATTTTAAATTTTAAAATTCTCTCATTTTTTTTCTCAATGAGGAGCCCTGTTCAATCAAGAATGCTTTTAAACTTAACAAATGTGCCAGCTGTTCATTTCAATGTTTATTCATAGTTTTTTTCCCATTTATTCATGATTCAGGGAGTTCCATTTCCCTCTTTGCCTCGGCAAAACAAGCCAAGACGGGTCGACCTATATTACTCCAGCTGGTGCATTCGTTCCGGTAAGCTATCGTCTTCATCTCTGCATTTTCCATAAATACTGATTTCCAAATATCATTTTTTTTCAAATCATTTACAATTTTTCATGCCATTTTCAGTTGAATCACGGCGAGGCGATAACCAAAAAACTGCATGTGAGGTGCTTTTGTTCCATTATGAAGATATGGGCATCCCGTGGGAAATTGCAAAGCTCGGCGTTCGACAAGGAATGTGGGGCTGCGTCAAAAAGATTGAGCCCGGGCTTCGGGCCTACCAAGCAACAAGGAAATCCGATGAACCTCTTTCGCGTTGTGCCGCAGTTGCGCGAATTAACACCAAGATTTCATTCGAACATATGAGGTTATTGGGAAACATTGATGATACATTGCAAGACATAGTCGATGTGGAGGAAGCGAAGGAGAAGCCGTGGCAGAGCAATTTGCCCAAGTTCTTATTGGTCGGCGGGGCTGTCGCACTCGCGTGCACGCTCGACCGCGGCCTACTCACGAAGGCAGTCATATTCGGTGTTGCAAGGAGATTTGCAAAGATAGGGAAGAGATTGTGAAGTTGAAGATGGGATATCATGAATAGATTTACTGTGTTTTTTCCCTGCTAGCAGTGTTACACTTTGTTGATAGGGTTTACGGAGCTAACCATTTACTGCTTGCAGATGGCTGTTAATGTGTATTTGTGTTAGCGAGGCAGAAGTTATTACTGTTAATTACATGTTAATGATCTAAATTTTTGTTAAATTTCTTCATACAAAAGACATTCAGAAGTTAATACAAGTTTTGAATCACTTTTTCTCTGAGTTCATCTCCTGTTAAATTAACTTAGAGGTTGTATTATGCTGACTTAGCTTTGTTTGATCATGTTAAGCTGCCGTTATGAGCTTCTTTCGTTTTACCTGCTTTTAATCACACATTTGAAAAAATGGATGAAAGAGGGGGCTAGTTTTCTAAATAATAAAGTTTGAAGTGCTATGCATGTAATTGTTATGTTCATATTTTGCAGTTCAACTTTAGCAGATGCTTGTTACATTTACACTTTCATTCATAGGTATGGTGGTATTTATGTAACAATTGAAGTTTTGGTTTTATATAATGTGTAATTCAAAGGAATTGAATGGTATGCATGTAAGATCTCACCATTAATTAAAGCTTTAACTAATCTTCCTTCTTCCCAATGGATAGGAATTATTATCAATAATCTTTTTATATTTGTTTAAAATTATATTTATTTTTATTGTCAGTTATTATACCATATATATCCTCTAATTTACTCGTAGAAAATTTCAAAAATATGTTTGATTTTGATTTACGAAAGTAGGTGTAAGTAGATGGTCTATAATAATATGATAAAATGCATTCCTTGATTTTTTAGTGCTGAGAATTCCCTTTGATTGCTTCAAATTATGATTAACTATTAGCTTAGATGAAGATTTCGTTGCAAGCAATATGTAATTTATTATTGAGCTGTTGGGTTCAATTCAAGTAAATCATATTCAAATATTGACTTTCCATCTGCAGATATGCAGCTCAAAGATTAAAGAGGAGACTTTTAAAATGTGAGCTAATAAGCATATTATTTAAGATGTATATTATTCGATTCAAATTTGTCTGTGAATCACACTCAAAAAGTAGAGCGGGAGAGGGGAGTAAAAATGTAGAGAGAGAGAAAGAGAGAGAGAGAGACAGGAGCTATAATCTCTAGAATAAACAGTAAAATCAAGTAACCCTCTTAACTAAATGCTATCTCTATTTCTAGAATATTTAATACAATAGTAATATTACATTTTTACCCTAACTGGAAAGCCTATACTGGATATTCTTGGTATTTATAGGCGATGACATATCGCACCTTCTACTTTGCTCGGCTAGCTCGGTCGGTAGGGTTCGATCGACAAACCTAGCCTGGTTGGCTATCTTCAACCTCCGGCTAGAAGTCATTTGGCCTTTGCTAGATGGCAAAAAATACTTTGTGGAAATAACTCTACTATTGAGTCGGCTTTACTATGGGATAGAATATTGCATCAAGTCGGCTTCTCGGTACTTGATGTCCTATACACCTTCTCGTTACCGGGCGAATGAATTTTATCTATATCGCAGGCTTCGTCCTACTTTAACATAAAAATAAATAAAATTTATTAATATTATTATTTTTATAACAAGTAAGGGAATTGGCCTTTGGAGTTTGGACTAACAGCACTTGTTGTGATTTCCACAGTGCAATTTATTATTATTTTCTCTTGCAGATTTATGTGTGCTTATTTTTAATGTCATTTTATGTTTTGTTTACAGATTTTTAAGGCTTTTTTGGTTGTTTGAGAAGAGTAATTATAATTTAAAAGCAATAACAATTTTAAATTCATCATTATTTGATGCAGTTTGACACTAACATTAATTTCAAACAGCTGAATGAGCTCTGGGAACAATAGGAGAATAGCCCAATGCATCTTGATTTTCACGATCAAACCATGAATTTCAATGCATTTTTTATAAATAATCTTTCAAATTTAAATTTATGATTATCTAAACTCCGATTTCATCATATTTATAATTAAACTCGGTGTCTCCATAAGACGAACTCAACGACTCTAAAATTAGTTCAATCTGAGTACAATCAAATCCAAATTAACTTATTGAAGCATAATTGGAAGCTTTCGATCATCATTTGAATGGTCAAATGAACTCCAAATTTGACATGTGTATTGTTGAATCAAGCGTCTAGACGAGAGTAATCCAACGAGTCTAAAACTCCTTAATTCAGAGGTGGTTAAGAGATCCAAATTTTCAAAAAATCACATATCATCAGTGGGGAATAAGAATGAACCATCCAATTAGGTTGGTTAGAGAAGTTATGTGTCAAAAGAACAAAATATCCCTATTAAAAAGATGTAAATATATCTCATCACTTCAATTCAAGGAGGAAGAAAAGAAGAGAAGGAAAAGTGAAATTTCAAAGTCTCTTATAGGGAGAAGACCCAACGAGTAAAATCAGCCTCCATAGCCGCTAGCCACCGTCGCATGTGTGATTTGATTTTTGCAAAGCTGGGTTTGTTTACCTGTACTTCTTATTATTTGTGAGCATGTATTCCAAATCTTTGGTGAATTGCTTGTGAAGAATGTGGATTTCCTTTGATAGTTGTAAATATATCTAGTGAAGATACATCGCTTGCGAGTTGATTCATTTGATTTTTTTAATTGTCTTAGAGCTATTTGTAGATGGCCCCAAATGCTTCCTAAATGATGTTCAAACACACCACAAAACATGCTTAAATTCCTCTTGAAACCTGTCCTCTAATCACCCCTTGGAATCGACACAAATCTACATAAGTTTAGCTTTTTATAAATCTCAAAATCCCTTTTAAATGCTGTTTAATTTCAGACGCCAAATGCTTAAAAAATTTTAGAAAAACAACGCTCGAAACTTAAAGCCAATTGTATATATACATATAAATGAAAGTTGAATGATAAAAAACTTGATTGGGATTGATTGTATGTTTCCGTGTGAGATGCCAAATTGATATTTACCCCTCTTATTATCATATGCACTTTGTGATTCATTCTTACTTATTGTCTTGTCTTATTCTCTTTGCCGTTTATGCTTCGATAAATAATTGTTATTTATTGAATTTGTTTACTCACTATTTATTTATTCACTTATTTTTAATATAATAGGTTCGATTCAGTCATCAATAGAATCGTCTCTATCATAACAAATTTTTCAGTTGTAGTTTCTCAGTTTTGATATTTTTCCGTAGTATTTGTTTTAATTATTGTATTTCTCATTGATGGGTTTGGGTAGTTATTTCCTGTTGTCATTCCGGTTTAGATTAAACAAATTTTCTATTTTCAGTTCAATTATATTAGTGGACTTTTCATTATTAATTGCTACTTATTGTATTTCTATCTCATTTAATTTTGTATGCAAGTCTTTTTTTTTTTTTAGAATAAAAAACAGAGAGTTTTTTGTTACAAAGCAGCTTTTAGATATTAACCGAAGCTTGCTCAAATGTTGTTGCAAACTAGCCCAAGTTCTAGCCAAATTCGTGCTTAAATCTTTTTAAATCCTGCTGCTAGATAGCTACGAAAACATTTGTAAACTGATCAACACATTTGCAGGGCAATGGAAATGACCGGTTATAGATTATTCATTGCTTCTTTTCTTGAATCCTGTTGTATATTGACTGTTTGATGAAACGTCTAGCAGGCATTTATCAATAAACCCCAAGCTTAAGCTCACATTGTAACTCCAGTGCACAATATATATAGCGTCGCATACTCAGATCAGTTGGCCGGGCATCTGCTTGTCAGTTGTAAGTCCCCTCTGGTATGGGGTTCGATTCCCCCCGAATAGGGTGTGGTACTCGAATTATAGGCGCATGAAAGATGGTCGGGATTCTTATCATAGCCTCCAGCCATTTCTTAAAAAAATATATATATTTATTGTGCTTTCATTGAAATGAAAAGTGCATATATTACAAATGTATGTATAGTTCCTCTATGATTAAAAAATCAATGTTCATTTGGATTTACACGTGTTAGGGGCAATCACCTTAAAACTAATTTATGTCAAATTCACATTCATTAGTAGTGTTTGTGTGAACTCGAATGTGTTCATGCTTTACTTTGTTAATATTGAACATGTTAAGTTTTCAATACATTCAAATTAAGCCTATATAGAGCATGACAATAATTATAAGTTTTACATCAACATATCTTCTGATATTTGGTTGTATTTAGATCATGTTGAGGTGATAATGATTGATTTCATAAGCATTGGAATGTAGTTTTTGTATTTCTTGCTTACATGCACGTTTATCTTCTCATGCATTAATTGTCGTATTTACGAGTATATTTTATATATCTTCGAGTTGAACTGAATGCTCATACATATTTCTAGGTGTGCCTTTGTGATGATAAATATGTTTGTGGTTGGGGCATCAAGAGATTGTGAACCCTATATTGGGTCAAACAAAAAGAACAGCTTCAAACTTTACGTCAGTGAGATAATGTGAGTGAAATATGTGATATATTCCTGACATTTTCACCTATGTTTTTACATCTTTGATATTGATATTATACATAAAAAATGTATTTTTGCATATTTGTGCAGGTGGCAGGTTGGATGTAGTTTTGGAACGGAAAAGGACAAATTTAAGCAACTAATGAATGTTTTTGACTTAGCGCGGGTGACGCTAGGGCAACACGCTCGCTCTAGAACATGTGCCCAGGCCCAAAACAGAGTGTTCCCATGATAGGTTAAAGCACTCACACCCAAAATAGACCGTGTTTGCACCCATACATACTAAATACGGTGCACCCGTGCCCTTCGGTGTACCAACACTAGGCTTGTTGAACCAAATGTGGAAGAATTTTTCTTCTCTGTCAAACTATACCTATATATATGCTTTTAGAAACATGTTTAAGGCTTCTTGGGTGGCTTGAGGCTATAAGAAGAGAGGGATTTTGGCGAGAAAGAGTTCTCCCTAAGGGTTTTCTTTCTCTCTTCTTATTAAAACTATACTAGTTGTTTTGCACCTCTTCTTCCTTAGTTCATGTTTTTTCTTAGAGTTTTGTACGAGAGAGGAAACTTATTCTCTTGTGGAGAAAACAAGTCTTGATTGTAAGTTATATAGTTTTTTGTTTCTTACAATAATGATATGCATGACTTTCTTGTCTGTGGTTTTCTCTATGATGTGTAGCAAAAAATTCTCTTTCGTGTCTCTGTAATGTAGGGTTAATGGTTTTTTGAGATGTTTCCCATATAACATTTTTTGAGCTTTCATTGCTTTATGTTGTTGAT